CGTCTCTCAAATTTGCTTGGTCAAATGAGCAGTTCTTCATTTCTGAGTGCGCGATTTATAGCGCCTTTACGGTAATCACTGAGAAGCGGCACTAACGCAAGAGTAAAAATAATGCATGTTTTTTCTGCTTCATGAGATACCAATTATTTTTACCATGAGTTCTTAAAAAAACTAACACTGTTTGACTCAGTCCTAGTTTGACTGCTACCAACAATAAAATGAAGTACTTTTACTGTCTTTTTTCTGGGTAATACTCTCAAATTCCCCTCCTGAGAACAAAATCATGCAACTTCTGCTATATTTGATGAGATAAAATGATTTTTATCGATGCATCCTTAATAAAAGTGATACTGTTGGACTCAGTACTTGTTAGACTACTACCACAAGTACAATCAAGTACTTTTACTGTGTACTTTTGAGTAATCCCCTGTCAAACTCCCCTCCAGAGTACAATAATGCATGTTTTCTGCCCTCTTTGATGAGAGATAAAAGGATTTTAAAAAATAAGTTCTTAGTGAAATTGATACTGTTGAACTCAGTACTACTTGGACTAGTAGCACAAGTACAATCAAGTACTTTTACTGTGTACTTTTTGAGTAATCCCCTGTCAAACTCCCCTCCAGAGTACAATAATGCATGTTTTCTGCCCTCTTTGATGAGAGATAAAATGATTTTGTGCAATAAGTTCTTAATGTAATTGGTATTGTTGGATTCAGTACTACTTGGACTACTACCAAAACTACAATCAAGTACTTTTACTGTGTACTTTTGAGTAATCCTTTGTCAAACTCCACCCCTGAGTACAATAATGCATGTTTTCTGCCATCTTTGATGAGAGATAAAATGATTTTGTGCAATAAGTTCTTAATGTAATTGGAACTGTTGGATTCAGTACTACTTGGACTACTACCAAAAGTACAATCAAGTACTTTTACTGTGTACTTTTTGAGTAATCCTTTGTCAAACTCCACCCGAGTACAATAATGCATGTTTTCTGCCATCTTTGATGAGATAAAATGATTTTGTGCAATAAGTTCTTAATGTAATTGGTACTGTTGGATTCAGTACTACTTGGACTACTACCAAAACTACAATCAAGTATTTTTACTGTGTACTTTTTGAGTAATCCTTTGTCAAATTCCACCCCTGAGTACAATAATGCATGTTTTCTGCCATCTTTGATGAGAGATAAAATGATTTTGTGCAATAAGTTCTTAATGTAATTGGTACTGTTAGATTCAGTACTACTTGGACTACTACCAAAACTACAATCAAGTATTTTTACTGTGTACTTTTTGAGTAATCCTTTGTCAAACTCCACCCCTGAGTACAATAATGCATGTTTTCTGCCATCTTTGATGAGAGATAAAATGATTTTATGCAATAAGTTCTTAATGTAATTGGTACTGTTGGATTCAGTACTACTTGGACTACTACCAAAACTACAATCAAGTATTTTTACTGTGTACTTTTTGAGTAATCCTTTGTCAAACTCCACCCCTGAGTACAATAATGCATGTTTTCTGCCATCTTTGATGAGAGATAAAATTATTTTGTGCAATAAGTTCTTAATGTAATTGGTACTGTTGGATTCAGTACTACTTGGACTACTACCAAAACTACAATCAAGTATTTTTACTGTGTACTTTTTGAGTAATCCTTTGTCAAACTCCACCCCTGAGTACAATAATGCATGTTTTCTGCCATCTTTGATGAGAGATCAAATTATTTTGTGCAATAAGTTCTTAATGTAATTGGTACTGTTGGATTCAGTACTACTTGGACTACTACCAAAACTACAATCAAGTATTTTTACTTTGTACTTTTTGAGTAATACTCTGTCAAACTCCCCTCCAGAGTACAATAATGCATGTTTTCTGCCATCTTTGATGAGAGATAAAAGGATTTTTTGCAATAAGTTCTTAATAAAATTGGTACAGTTGGATTCTGTACTACTTGGACTACTACCAAAAGTACAATCAAGTACTTTTACTGTGTACTTTTTGAGTCTTGTAATGCGCTGTTGAGGAACCTGCGACCCAAGTTGTGTATATGATCAATACACCTTAGAAAATCTTGAAATCTTGAAAGGAATGTGCAAAAGAGCCATTATACAGTTTTTAATTAACTATTAGTAGAGAATAACGAGTAATGAATATACTTTATAGAGATCTGCAGATAAATGTTTCGTCTTCTCAAGCACCACCTATCAAATATCTCTCCTGATTGTTGGCACTTGACAATCACCTTCCCTGAATTTCACTCAGGTGTAACTAAAGTCTGCTTTAAGGGTTGTTTATATTTCACATCATTAATCAGAATCTGCAAAGTAACTAAACTAAATGTAGTGGAGTAAAAATACCAGGTTAACCTCTGATTTGTAGTGGAGAATTACAAAGTAACAATGAGCTGTCATGTGGGTATATATTAATGCTGCACATTATGGATACAAGCGATTTTCACCCATTTAGTAATTACATGTTTTAAATGTGTCACCAATGTGTTTCCTATCGCCTAAACCTCCAGGGCTGTACACAGTTTAATACTGGCAACTTCTAATTTTTGTAAAAACGTCTTTTAAAACTACAATTCCCAGTAGATACGTGCCATAGAGAACATGTTGCGAAACACAATAGCCAGCATGTGTATTTCTCGGGGGGCGTTCGAGTCCAGTTTTGAATAGTCTGCCGTGGTTTCGTTCCATTTCAAAGAGCTTGACGCTCGGCGTAACCTTGGCGCACTGCCACTCCAACATCACAGGGTTTGTCAACGGGACTGTAGTCCCAAACGATAGCTGGGGATTATGGGTAGTGTAGTATCTTTGGCCATCCTAAATCTCGAAATGTCCCGTCTGTTTCTGGTGACTTTATTTACGGCTAAAAAGCCCAAGATTATAGAATTAAACAAATAAATAAAAACAAGGATAATTGTGTGTTATTGTTGAGTAAATAACAGTGTGTTATTTAGAAAAGAATAACAAATTAGAAGGAAAAGATTAAAAAAATACAGATTTCAGTATTTTGAGGCTCTAAGCCCCATTTATTTTCCTCACAGACGACAAAAAAAGTCCGACATTATACGATTTAAAATAAAAACAAATAAATAAAAAGATAAAAGACTGGCATGCAATTTACGTTAGAATAAATAGAATGGTTTTGAATAATAGATGAGAGTAAAATCTACGTCACTTTACGGCCCCGCCCACTTTTGGGGAAACCAACGCTGTCATTTGAACAGCGATCAAGCCTGAAGCCACAGAGATCTTCTGTTACTGTCCTTTCTTCTTCGAGGAAGCACAGAAACACGTAACTCTGGATTTGTTTTAATGTTTGAGGTGCAATAAATGACACAGCAGCTTTTTGTCATGTTAAAACTATTATTTTCTGCCTCGCTCATGAGATTAACAGCTGGCGAAATTACAGCCTCGCCTACTGATTTTAATGTAACCATATATCGAGCCCAATTGTCGATTTCAAAGGTGTGCTCTAAAATGATATTTATAAATGACTATTATCATTATTATAAGCAAGACAATAAATGGCAAAGATATGTAGAAAATAAACGTATTTAAGATACGTTCATAACGAACGTAACGTGGGAGAAAATACGTTTCTAGCTAAACGTAATTGAGAATGCAGTTTAGTTCTGTGGGAACGTAATTTTTAGGAGACATGGTTGCAAAAATTATACATGTGTTATACATCCAGAAATATCGAAATATCGTTTCCCACAGTGTGACATGTATACATAAAACAAAAAGGGCCTAGATAACCGGGGTATACCGTTTAAAATGTTAATATATTTAAAGTGTTCAAAGTGCAGTTTCAGTGCAAGTCAGTTGAAACGATCTTAAGTTGGCGTGACGTTGAAGTCGTGCGACCCTGCTGCTGTACTGGCTTGTAGTTCGTTTATAGCATAACGTTAGCATTTCGCTTTTGGCAACTAGATTTATGATTCAAAAATTATAAAAGTAGGGTAGACATGTGGAGATTATCCGGCTGAACAAAACGTGATCCCTCTCTTAAATGTGTGTCAACCACAGACCTTATTTCGAGCTATTTTCCAAAATCCTATGGAGAATTTGCATTGGTTTTTCACAAAGGAACCGGAAGAAGTTTACTTCCGGGTTTTACCACGCGTCACTGCGGTTCTCTATACCTGTCAATTAGTGCTTCCATGGACCTCATCTGTAATGGAAACTCGTCGAGGGTACGTATATTTGTATTTCAACAGAAAAGTAGTTATATACATAATTGTGTTCGAAAATAAAACACAAATGTTTATATTAATTGTTTATAGTTCTGATTTCACTTTATTTTAAGTCAAATCATAACTATTATATGTAGTTTAATCATTTTTATTTAGGTGGTCGCTCAGTTTTTCAAATGTACACCATTCAGCTCCTCCAGCACCCCTACTTCCTGCGGCACCCGACACACTGAACTCACATGTTGTTTAACAGATGACACGTTTGTAAACAAAAACCCTGCTGGGGGACTGGGTGATACATTATCTTTTAAAATTGTATGAACATGTCCAAATTTAAGAATCCCCATAGAAATTGTCAACGGACAAACTGTTTTCTCAAGATGTACATGTATTTTTTTTTTTTTTAAATAAGAAAAAAACAGTGTTCTTGTTTATTACAGGTTATAAAGTTATACTTTTATAAAATGTATGGACAACATTTTAAAAAGTGCTGGGGACATGTACCCAGCATCCCCAGCTTAAATGACACCTATGAATATATCCCTCTGTCCTTTCAGTGCAAATCGACATAGCATAGGCAACAAATCAGAAGTCAGGGAATCAAGCTAATTAATTAAAAAAGTCTAAACTGAGTGAAAAGTCTAACTATAAATAATAGATTTGAACTTGTTATGTCTTTTCAGAGTCTTGGTTTTCTCAACGTTTGGGAAGGCAAGTGTTTCTTATTTGTCACACAATTGTAATTGCATTAAAAAATTCAATGATTTCTCAAATGTCATATTTTTTTACAAAGAAATGACGGAACTTTGACATTTCAATTTCAGACAAGAAAAATAACAATAACAAAAGAAGTCCTTTTGGCTGTCACTGACAAGCTTCGAGCCACAACCAAAACAAAAGACAACGATGAAGGTGACGAGAAAGACACTTTCTGGGGCGAGGTGTGTCAGGAGCTTGGAATATCCGATTCCAAGACCAATAGGACACGGCTTCATCATGCCTATAATCATCATAAAAAGGTAAATTTTTTATAAATATTGCACTAATATTGATTCTTATTTCTGCTTTGCTTTTATCTTCATCATCAGTCTGCCTGTGTGAACAACTTTAATTTGGATGTGCTATAATATTTTATATTATTTGATTAATAATTACATCTTTGGATTTAATTTGCTCCTTGTCATGTGCAGATGAGACACAAGACACAGATGGTGACCGCAGCACCTGCCAGCCCATCGACAGACAGTGACCACACGGCCTGCCCCATCGACAGTGACCACAGTTCCACTGACATTGACCGCACAGTGCCTGCTACCCCATCGTCGGTTAGACAGGCATTCACAGAGACGAGTGAACCAGAAGACGTTTCAGAGGTAAATATCGCATATTAGCACGTAGTTAGTGTTAGTGTGTTATGAAACATGCACACTACTGTGTGGAGTGAAATTATAGTTAGTCCCAAATAAACAATTTCAGATATATTGATTCACATCAGTAAAGAGTCATTCCAACTTTGGTCACTTTCGCTAATATGTTTTCATTGTGTTTTACAGTGTAATTCATCAGGGACATATGACTCCTCATCACACTCAAAAGATGGGCAACTCTTACACTCATTTAAATTGCCTTCAAATCCTTCATTTTTTTTTGTCACTAAAAGTGACTGGAAGAAACTGAGGATGAGACAACATAAGCGTCGATTCAAATCTTTAAACTGGACTTCAGTCATGGCCACTGGCATCCGGAGTGTCCACCCACACTGTTGCTTTGTCTTCAAATCTCACAGTGTGCGAACAGTTCGGTCAAAAAGGAAAGGGTCACTTTTTTCATGTGTTGGCTACTGTCGATTTGATGACTGTCCTGTGGAGGTCGAAGTTGACATTGAGGATGAGTCATCCCTTAAGGCAGTTGTGACCTTCAGAGGTGAAAAAGCATGGCACAACTGTGAAGAACTCAAACATCGGCTTGTGCGTGCAGATGAAAGGGATGCACTTGCTAATGCCCTCACCAGCAAACTTCCCAGAAGTGTGTACCTTGATAAGCTCAATAAACTGGATGACACTGTGTTGGCTTCTGGAAACAGAGACCAGGTACCATCAACTGGTGTGATGAAAACATTGTCCTGGCAGGCAAGAAAGAAGCTGAGAAAACACAGCAATGAAATGATCAGCCTCAGAAAAATGATGGAGGAAGAGCTTGAGACTGAGGAAGCAGTCATTAAAAAAATTATAGCACACCCCAAAGGAGTCATGCTATGGTCCAACAAAACAATTGACCTCTTCCATGACAGGTGCAGGGAAGACATTGTATATGTGGATGCGACAGGGAGCATTGTTAAAAAGGCAAAAGGGAAAACCTCACCTTTTTATGTGTATGAGATGGTGGTCCGAAATCCGTTCAAAGGATCCTCCCCTGTCCCTGTGGCCACCTACATCACAAACGACCACACAATAGCCTCCATATCCTTTTTCCTTGGGTCATTTCTGACTGATGTAATAAGACTCCATGGAAGGGGAGCCAAAAAAAGACCTGTCATGCTGATCTGTGATGGCTCTACAGTCCTCATGGAGTCCATGGCCTATAATTTCTGTGGAGTCAGCCTCCAGGAACTTCTCTCCATGTACTACAGCATCGTATCTGGACAGGCAAAGCATGATTGTACTTTTAGTAGTAGTCCAAGTAGTACTAAATCCAACAGTACCAATTTCATTAAGAACTTATTGCAAAAAATCCTTTTATCTCTCATCAAAGATGGCAGAAAACATGCATTATTGTACTCAGGGGTGGAGTTTGACAAAGGATTACTCAAAAAGTACACAGTAAAAGTACTTGACTGTACTTGTGCTACTAGTCCAAGTAGTACTGAATCCAACAGTATCAATTTCATTAAGAACTTATTGCACAAAATCATTGTATCTCTCATCAAAGATGGCAGAAAACATGCATTATTGTACTCTGGAGGGGAGTTTGACAGGGGATTACTCAAAAAGTACACAGTAAAGTACTTGATTGTACTTTTAGAAGTAGTCCAAGTAGTACTGAATCCAACAGTACCAATTTCATTAAGAACTTATTGCACAAAATCATTTCATCTCTCATCAAAGATGGCAGAAAACATGCATTATTGTACTCGAGGGGAGTTTGACAGGGGATTACTCAAAAAGTACACAGTAAAAGTACTTGATTGTACTTTTAGTAGTAGTCCAAGTAGTACTGAATCCAACAGTACCAATTTCATTAAGAACTTATTGCACAAAATCATTTTATCTCTCATCAAAAATGGCAGAAAACATGCATTATTGTACTCTGGAGGGGAGTTTGACAGGGGATTACTCAAAAAGTACACAGTAAACGTACTTGATTGTAGTTTTGGTAGTAGTCCAAGTAGTACTGAATCCAACAGTACCAATTTCATTAAGAATTTATTGCACAAAATCATTTCATCTCTCATCAAAGATGGCAGAAAACATGCATTATTGTACTCTGGAGGGGAGTTTGACAGGGGATTACTCAAAAAGTACACAGTAAAAGTACTTGTTTGTACTTTTAGTAGTAGTCCAAGTAGTACTGAATCCAACAGTACCAATTTCATTAAGAACTTATTGCACAAAATCATTTTATCTCTCATCAAAGATGGCAGAAAACATGCATTATTGTACTCTGGAGGGGAGTTTGACAGGGGATTACTCAAAAAGTACACAGTAAAAGTACTTGATTGTACTTTTAGTAGTAGTCCAAGTAGTACTGAATCCAACAGTACCAATTTTATTAAGAACTTATTGCACACAATCATTTCATCTCCCATCAAAGATGGCAGAAAACATGCATTATTGTACTCAGGGGTGGAGTTTGACAAAGGATTACTCAAAAAGTACACAGTAAAAATACTTGATTGTACTTGTGCTACTAGTCCAAGTAGTACTGAATTCAACAGTACCAATTTTATTAAGAACTTATTGCAAAAAATCATTTTATCTCTCATCAAAGATAGCAGAATACATTATTTTGTGTACTCAGGACAGGAGTTTAAACAAGTATTACTTAAAAAGTACACAGTAAAAGTACTTGATTGTACTTTTAGTAGTAGTCCAAGTAGTACTGAATCCAACAGTACCAATTTCATTAAGAACTTATTGCACAAAATCCTTGTATCTCTCATCAAAGATGGCAGAAAACATGCATTATTGTACTCAGGGGTGGAGTTTGACAAAGGATTACTCAAAAAGTACACAGTAAAAATACTTGATTGTACTTGTGCTACTAATCCAAGTAGTACTGAATCCAACAGTACCAATTTCACTAAGAACTTATTGCAAAAAATCATTTTATCTCTCATCAAAGATAGCAGAATACATTCTTTTGTGTACTCAGGACAGGAGTTTAAACAAGTATTACTTTAAAAGTACACAGTAAAAGTGCTTGATTGTACTCGTGGTAGTAGTCCAAGTAGTACAGAATTCAGCATAACCGATTTTATTAAGAACTCATTGCAAAAAATGATTGTATCTCTCATCAAAGAGGGCAGAAAACATGCATTATTGTACTCTGGAGGGGAGTTTGACAGAGTATTACTCAAAAAGTACACAGTAAAAGTACTTGATTGTATGGTAGTAGTCTAACATGTACTGAGTCCAACAGTACCAATTTTATTAAGAACTTATGGCTAAAAATAATTTGATCCCTCATCAAATATCATTGATTGATTGATCAAATATAGCATAAGCACTTTTACTATCGTCAGCGCCACTTCTCGGCGATTACCGTAAAGACGCTATTAATCGCGCACTCAAAAATGAAGCGCTGCTCATTTGACCAAGCAAATGCGAGAGACGGCTGAGTTGACCGCAGTGAAAATCGTGAGGGTTGGCAAGTAGGCTATGTCACATACACACGCACTTTTTGCCCCCCCCCCACACCCTGCATGAATCAACCTAAATCCTCACTGTGTCAGCAGTAATCAATCTGTGACCGTCACATTATGTTTGACCACATTATGTTTGACCACATTATTTACACAAGATCATTTTCTCCACACTTGACATCTGTATTAGGCATATTTACACGTTTCTAAGAATGAAGAACGGCGTGGGTCAGATTCATACCTGTGCCGCTGAAAATGACCAACAATGCACTTGCTGTAAGGAAACTCAGACAAAGTGTTGATTATTCCACTATTTTGCTTTGCATGTATTTCAGAATCAGAAACATGTTTATTACCAGGTAGGTTTACACGTACGAGGAATTTGATTTGGTGTCGTGGTGCATAATAACAAGTTAAAAACACAGGAAGAGAACTAGAAAAATATTTTAAATAGTTACAAATATAGTAAAAATATAACAGTATTTACATTCCAATGGAATGAAATAAAAATCGGCAGTAATACAAAATATTGTTGTACATTGTGTGCATTAATGCAGTGGTTCCCAACCTGGGTGGCGCTATTGCAGGGGGGGCGTGTGAAGCTTAGGAAGAAGTTGTAAACAAACATTGTTTGCTCGTAAAATCAATAAAATTGACACATTTTTAACACAACCGGCAGTTTAAAGAAAAGTGGACGAGCCTACGACAAGCCTTGCAGCTACAAAGCCCAAATCAAGAAAGTATGATGATGCATACATTTCCCTTGACATCTAACGTGGTCGGTGGGGAGATCTCTCTCTCTCTATTTCTCTCTCTGTGTGTGCGGGGGGCGGGGCATCTCGCTCACTTTGGCGTTATAGGTGTGCCTCTATCCTGAGCACACAATGAAACATGTTGAGCATAGAAAATGCGATTCAGCGCACACTTGAAAATGTTTTAGCACAGAGAAATATATTTTCTCTCATAAAACTCCTGCTCCGTGCGCAAGCAGACCGCTGCACGCGCTCTCTCTCCCTCGCTCGCTCGACCTCTCCAGCCTGTGCTATATCTAACCAACCAATCGGAGAACTCGAGAAGGTCAATTCTGATTGGCTGGTCGTCTCCAATCATATCTTCTATCTGAGATGAGAGAGGGATTTTCGGTTGCCATCAGGCTGTTGACGTTCTTATTACACATCCATCGTTGACATTTACAGGACATGACAGACTCGAATGAAGAGAATAGCACGCCACAGTGTCAGGTGAGTTATACATTGCTAGTTTTCTGATATCACGTTATTGTTTGCAATGCCTGAGTTTGCTAGCCAGCAACATAGCTATAGGGGTAGTTTAAACAAACAGCTAACAAACCGTAGCCTACATGTACATGAACCCTTCTGAGGTATTGATTACTTGATGTAAGCATTAGAGGTGGCAGAATGACAAAACATGTTTCTCTCTCTATCACAATTTTGGGTTGACCAGAACCTGGACCAATTTATGTTTCCTGTTCTACAATGGGCATAGAGCTTGCGTTAATTTTCAACCGGACAACTAAACAGATTAGGCTAGGATACCAGATAAAGTTAGCAACACACGTTATCCATGAACAGCCTATTAATCCAACGTTGTGGAATTAGAGAAAAGGGGCTTCTTAACGTGCTTTTATCCGGGGTGGAGGGAGTTACATATTAGTTAAATATAACATTGGGGCGTGTGATTGTAGTGGGTGGAGGTGGTGAAATGAGGATATCCATTTTGGAGTTCAAGCTAATATAATATAGTTAACGTTACACAATAATAAGGAAGAGAGCTATTTTTGTGATACATCGCTATTGATATGGATTTAGAGTGGATATTTGAGACTTCTAAACAGTAAACAAAAACGTAACTTATGGGTGAGTGTTTTTAGCAGAGCCATATTTTCCTTGTGATTCTGTTGATTATTACCTGTCTGTATTATGTTGCAGCTCAGCTGATTTTGGATTGATGGCAAAGGGAGAGGGACTTAAGTGAGAGTGAAAACACAAGGTACGTTTAAAATAGGTCAGCAATTTCCCATCCTATAGGTTGCTAGATGTATCTAACCC